GCTTTCACTTGTATCATTCTTGTTGGTTCCATATAGGACTGAAGTTTTACTTTTGATGAACTGATTTTCTAATTACTTTCTTTGTGCTTGTTAATCATTATTTACACTCTATATGCAGACTATTGTCCTCATGTTTGTAGTTATTATCACAAGCATTTCAGCCTTTGTGCCTCCCTCAGGTGTATATCAGTCTAGGTAACCTAAATTTAAAAATTCTGGAAAACTAACATTTTTACTTCTGTTTATAAATATTTGTAGGAAAATAAGATCCTCATATTTGCTTTGATAAAATCCATCAGAGGATGAAATGCATTGGTTAAGATAATTTGATTTTTTTGTCTTGTGTGTGTGTATATATATATATATATATATATATATATATATATATATATATATATATATGGCAGCCTTGGATGGCAACTGGTCTAGGAGAAGGATAACTCTGAATTCAAAACCTGCGGAGAGTTATTTGGGGACTTTTGTGGCACGTGAAATCCAGGTCTCTGTATTCAACCCTTCAAAAAGTGTGGATGGTGGTGTCTTAAACCTTCACCACTATAATCAAATCTCATGTGCTGTTGGTTTCCTAGGAACTGATCTGCTTGGCCCTCATACAATTGACAGAAGGAGTGGTATATGTATATATATATATATATATATATATATATATATATATATATATATATATATATATATATGATTGATACAAATATAAAATTTGTCACATAGCTAATTGATGTTACCTTCAGCATCCTGATTCTAGAGTTTTGTAGACTGGCCCTCCAGCAATCGCTCCGTTCACTCATCAGGGGAGATGACAGTAGATTTAGGCAGCAATATTTTATTTAAACATGTTTTATTAAATAAAAATGACAAGGAATGCCTGTTAAGTTCTTAAGTGAGTTTCTCCTAGTATCAAATAAGTCATTTATGTTTAGTTGAAACTTTTAAAGAAACTTGCTGAAATTGTGTGTAATGTTCTAAGTACTTTTGACCATCATTGGTCATCATCAAGGAAAGAAGTTAAGAGATAGCTAGTGGAGCATTTACGTTGTTAAATGGTTCAGAGTTTGAAATGAACATAGGTTCACATGTTATGGTGATTTTTTTTCTAAGTGTAGCTTAGATGTGGCACAAAGCTGAAAGTATGGGTCATCTAGTGAGGATCAAACTCGCTATTTAGTCATAACTGATCTATCGAAATAAGGTTGTTAACCATTATACCACGTTGAAGTGTTCATGTTCACATGTTATGGTGGTGGAATAGATTTTAGCATCATGTGATGAACTATCCATTCTATTTAATAAAATATATGAAGATATTTTTTATCTCAACATTTTCAACATGTGTATCCTGTTGAAAGTTTCAGCATGAAAGCTTAGTGTCAAATTAAGATAGCTGATTGCAGTTTTCTAATTGGACTGTTTTGACTTCTCATTATTTTGTTTCTTTCTTTTCTCTTTTTCTTTTTTAAGGTTTTGTCATGTCAAATTACTTATTTCATTCACTTCATAACCTAGTTCATTAGGTTTCTCTTTTGTATTAAATTCCTGTTAATTTTACATTAAGCATTTGGGACTTTTTCATTACTATCAATAAAAAAGAAAATGTTTTTATTACTACAAGCAAAAAGAAATCTTCATTATCACCAACAGAAAGAAAACTTTTTCATTATTACCAACAAAGAAAACTTTTCATTACTGCAAGAAAAAAAACTTTTTCATTAGCAGAAAGAACTTTTTTCATTATTATAATGTTAATCAAGTTTTACTGGTTATAAAACTTTTGTTCTGTTTAGTACTAATGAGAAAGCACCAAAATGTATTAATTTTTTCTTTCAATCTTTACAGCATTAGTATTGTTTTTGAGCAAAGCTGCAAAATTCAAGCAAATTGACAGATTTGAAACTCAACTAAAAAATACTTACAAAACTGAATGTTTGAGAGAAAGGCTAAAATGTTTTGATTCTGTATGATAAAAAGTCCTTTTAAAATTTGAGCCCCAAACTGGCACCATAAATTAAATTTCTTATTCTTGAGAAAAGAAGATATTAATTAATCTTTTCTTTCTTTTTTTTTTTTCTTTTTTCCTTTCTTCTTTCCTTTCTTCTTTATTTTCAAATTATGGCAGGTAGCTTTTCATGGGGACTAGTAAAGAAGCCCTAAATATTTGACTTATTTTATTTCAATTATTTTTTAAAAGGAGTCTACTGTAGTTGGGATCATTGAATCAATGTGGATGATCCTTTCCTTTAGCTGCATAGTAAGATGTATGTAGCCCTGGCATAGTATGTACTTTGCCAGGGCTACATACAATTTTGAATTCAGAGTTATCCTTCTCTCAGACCAGTTGACACACCTATGGATAAATAGCAGAACTCAGTCTGTTCTGCTATTTACCCATAGTAGAGGGTAGAAGAGTTGAATTCATACCCTTTCCCAAGGGTATTAGCACATCTCTATCTATAAAAGGCAGGATGCGTGTGTGTAACGAATGCACAACCACAATTTTCAACGGATTTGCATCAAAATTTACATGCTCATGCTCCAAGTTAGCGGGAAGGCCAAGACCAACTTTGCATTTCCCAACTCCCATCGATAGTGGAAATAATCAATTTTTTTATGCTTCTGGAGCAGTTTTCATGTAGTTTGCGTCCATTTTCTACTGACCAGAGTGAGAGCTTATAGCTGGCTGCCACAAATAGGCAGGAAGATTCTATTGGCCAGCGTGAGAGCCAACAGCTGACTGACATGAATGTTAACTAGCATGCTAGCATGCAAAAAAAATCGATAGCTGCATTCGTCACAAGTGGGAAAAATTTAAATCTGCATGGCACTTTACTCCAATTGGCTCATTCGCTTGCTTAAACTCAACGTTGATTCTGATTCCGCAGAACTGGGTTGGGTGTGAAAAAGTATTTGTTGTTAACATTCTTTTTTCATTCGGTTTTTCCAGTTACGAGTCCTTTTTCAAAGGCTGATCGTTTTGTGTTCATTTTGTTTAGTTCTTTTTTGTAACAGATTTAATGATTAGTATAGAGCTTAGAAAAAAATTTGCAGTGTGAGATAGGCAAGAAGTAAGGCATGTAGCAACATCAGCATGGCAAAGGGCACTTCTTTAAAGGCAAGGAAGGGCAAAAATATTTTAAGTCAAGTGATAGTGATTGCTGTATGAGTCGTACGATTTTTGAATCAAGCACGGCCAACGCTGGGCCATGCAGCTAGTAAGTGAATATAATGAACTCAACTGGAATTCAAACTTGGCTCTCTGATTCCTCAATCTGAGCTATAGTCCATTACTCTACCGTGCCTCAGTCACAGTATTTTTAAGAGCTTGACTTATTTTTATTCACAAAAATATGAAGTTTCAGTATAAATATTAATCTTAAAAATATGAACAAAGATGGATCACTTACCACCTTCTAAAATAGCAACATAAAAAAAATTCATATAATTATTAAAAAAATATCTGAATAAGTTATAATAATAATAATGTAAATATTTTAAGTTCATAATTACTTATCAAAAGAACGTTTGTTCTTATTCTGAAGACCCCTCATATCCATGGTCAGAACATAAGAGATTCAGATCAGTTTTAGTAATACATATAGAAAACTTTATAAGTTAAAGGAAATAAAATTTACTAAATATTTTTAGTGTGGTTAATGAATGTTTTATCAAAAGCACTGACACACAGAAAAGTTCTCTTTCTGATACAGTTGTATATTCTCTGGTGATTTTTGTATATAAAAAAATGACATCACAAGATATAAGATATCCCCTTACATGCACAACAGAATGAGAACAGCCTGTATCCATGGATTAAATAAAGAGTTTAGTTTCAAATTTCCAGATGACAGACAGCTGGAAGGTATAATGAACTAAATATGAGTTTGACTTGATTAGTGTAGAATAATAAATTACCCAACTTAAAAATCCGAATAGTAATTTCTTATTGTCCAGGATTATTATTTTTTTTTATTTTTTATTTTTTTTGCCTCTTGTAGTTTTTTTGTTTACAACTGACAAGGAGAAATTGTATTTTGGATTTATTAAAGACAAGGAAATAAGGGCAATAGTAAAAATTCTGTATATGTGAAAGATAGAGAATTTTTTCTTTTTTTTTTTTTTAAATCTCTTGATTTCTGTTATATTTCTCTATAATCAGATTTAATTTTCTCTATCATAATCTTGCTCACCACTTCAGATAATTCTGCATCATGTTACTTATTAAGTGAAAACATGAGAAATTGACATGGATGATTTAAATAGAAAAATACCATTGTATTTGCTAGTTGATAAGATATGTTTTGAAAAGATATTTATTTTGAATTTCTATCATATTTAATCTTGGTCATCTGTCTGCACAGTTCGAGTTTACTCTGTTGGCAAGACTTAGAATATATGCTAACTGAATCCCTTGCCTCACTTCTGTAGTAAGAACCCCATCCCCACAGAAGCTGCTAATTTCTGTGTGGATACTCACAGGCTTGGCTATAAATCTGACCATTGTCTACATTTTTGACTCTAGTGTAAAACTGGACATATGTCTAGATATTTATTTTGATTTTTGTCCTACACAACATATTAGACATTAAATAACCCAACAATGATTTATGTCATTAAATTAACCAACCTAACCTATTCATTATACCAATCCATTGAACTTTTTAATATTTGGATATTATTTTTTAAAGGCAGATATATTAGATAGACTACATTATCTGCTAACACATTAACTGTTTGGAATCTTCAAAAAGCAGTTTCAACTGAGCTACTTGAATTTATTTGAATGTGCATTATGTTGTTATTTTGTTGACGCTTAAGTGTTTTTCTTTTTCTGTTTTGTTTTACAACCAGAAATTTAAAAAAAAATAGATTTTGTTTTTTTTAAATTAATACTTCTAAGTTGATATTGTGTGTCATAATCGAGTTCAAGATAATTTGATTGAATATTATATAGAAATGTGCTTGAAATTATTATTTTGTTTCTCTTCCAGAATGATTTTGATTCAATTGAGACAAAGATACACAAAGTAGAACAGGATATTCGGAAAAACCATGAAACCATTCGTGAAATTAAAAAGATTCTTCGTCGGATTGCAGGGGGAGACAAATCTGGTATAAATAAACTGAAGCATCTTTTTGACAGGGAGGATCATGAACACATACAGAAGGACAAAGAAGTAGTAGAAAACGTGCTGAAACATGAACTTGACAGTGTACAGCATGCACCACGGGCAGAAGTTTTACTTCCAGATGGAATCTGCCCTGCATTTAAGACACAAGCTAAATCTGATATCATGGTGAGAATTTTTAACAATATGTAATACTGATATTTGTTATAAATAAAGAAAATTTATATTAATTAATTTCTAAATGTTTGAGATGGTTAGTGTCATCTGAAGTACTTTTTTTCCTGATAGCCATTACGAGAATAGCATAATGGGTATCGGTGCAGAAAATGGAATCAAGAAGTCTGTAATGTTCACTTTCAAACTAATATTCTTGGGAAAGGCTTGAATCTATCTTTTATCTCCCAAGCTATGGGTTAAATAACTGGATAGACTTGCTTATCTAACCTCGAGTACTAGCCAGTTTAAGTGGACTACTACTCTGAATTCAGAGTAATGGAGACGGCAAAATTACTGAAACCATTTCAGTATCTTTCCCAATGTATGTATCTATGTATAGCTGGCCACTCGTATTCGAGGATACCCGTCTACTAGTACGGCTAACCAATCCCTACTGCAGACACTTGCTCAGGTGCATTTGTGTTTATTCAACACCCATAGAGCCAATCTGCGGTTTATATTGCAACTATGCTGATCAGACCTTAGTTACAGTTTCTGGGAAAGAGCATGTTATCTAGTGTGATCAACAATTTGAACAAGTCTAGCACACTCAAGCCCTCGGCCACGATGACTTGTGACTTCATGCTAGCACAGCTATCAACAGCATCCAAGGGTTCTGTCTACCCAATTTTACTCACAAGGCTTGGGTTAACCTGTGGTATGGTTTTGAGGCACTTTCCAAAGTCGCCGCACACTGGGATTGATCCCTCCACTCTAATAACATCAGGAAGTCTCCTTCCTGACAAGTCGATCATGGTGGGATTATAAAACCCGGGCCTCATGGTCAGAATGTGAACATTCTAACCACTTGACCACATTTCCCAATAAACTATGTCAATTCACAGATAATAAGAGAAAAGGAATCTGTGGAAAGTCTACATTCTGAAGGGACATAGCATTATAAAATTTAAAATATCTGAAATATGAAAAAAAATTGACTGAAAAGAAATCAGATTGAATCAAATCATGACACATGTTCAAGAACATAATAATTAGATGAATAATTTTTATTGTGATTATTATGAAATATATTGTGAAAGGCCAATAATGAGCATTATTGCTGATATTAAATGAAAAGAAGTCAATAGAACAAAAGATACTTCATTATTTCATTAAGATATTGACACTGTATTATAGGCTTTTTAAATTTAAAAAAAAATATTAACTCATTGATTAAAATCATATAATAGTATAAGAATGTAATCAATAATATTCTATTTTCACAATATTATTTGACGTTTGCATTCTATTGTTGTAGATTTGTATGATTTCTTCTAATTATGAGATTTGTTGTTTTGTTTATCCTTTTCCCAGATTCGAAAAGTTTATGATACATTAGCATTTGACAACATTGATGGAGGTGTATGGAAGCAGGGATGGAACATTACTTATGATCCCAAGCAATGGGATAACACTGAGAAACTTCAGGTGTTTGTTGTGCCTCATACTCATAATGACCCAGGTAAATAATTTGGATTTGTCAATTGACGATGGTAAAAAAAAAAATGACTTTAACATTGTTGTTGTTCCATGAAGTATCTGTTTAATTTGCAAAATATAGTTCTTACTTGCTCTCTTAAAAATTTGTTATTAGAGTCTATGGTATGGTTTAAACTGATCTCAGAATATTATAAGTCTGTTTGGGAAATTTTTAATCAATAATGAAGAACTCTGGCTTATGGTAATTACTGCTATTTATTCTTTCAGAATGCAAATCCATTTAATGGGCTTTAAAAAAACTTCATCTCAATCCATTGTCTCCTATTAATTTGAGAAACACAGTTTAAGCAAGTTTAGTTCTGATAAAATCTGTCATTCTTTTGATAAAACATTCTTTTGCCATTTAATATTTATACATTTCTTTAAAATACATCTATATTTTGTTTGCAATGTTTATGTGTAAAAGATTTCAAGTTTTGTGACTTTGTTTGATTGAAAAAATTATCATATTTCTCAATTTTAAAAATGATGCTATATTAAAAAGAGAAATTGCTCAAGCTAAAAATGTAACACACACACACACACACACACACACATACAGAGTCCAGGATCTATTGAACTTGTCGTTTTTGTGATGTTTTTTGAACACTCGTTACCACTTTTGTAATGCCAACAAATACTCGTCACTTTCATAATGCTTGTAGTAGTTGAGACTTTGTAATCACAGATACAACTTATAGTAATGCTGTTGAACAATACTGGTGTTAGAGGCCTTCGAATATCACTTGCACTAATGGTACTTGCTTGAACAATACTAACTAGAATAGTAACCACTATCTAGTGATCTGAATAGCGAAATAGTATAGTGAACAGAGTAGAGAATAGCAATCCATATAGGAATAGAAGATAGACTAGAAATGACAATTGTTAGTCGTTAGCTACTTCCTACATATATGCGTTTCCTCTATGGTCATGAGGTATACTTAATTCAATAATGAGATCACCTGCGTTTTTCACTGACAATCTATGTTCAAACTCAAGTGTCAGCAGCGACACATTATTATTCCTGTATAAACAAAAGGCATTTATTTTGCATAATTATTTTTCAACATAATCTTTTTCATTGTTAATGCACTAAGTTCAATTAGTGAATATTAATCAGAGATTGAACATTATGCAGTGAAAATTTTAAAGTTCAGATTATAGCTCTGTCAGGCTATAAACTTATTTGTCCTTCTTTGTACAGATGTAAAATGCAATGTCTATCATATATATATATATATATATATATATATATATATATATATATATGCGTGTGTGTCTACCAGGCATTTAAAGACACTTCTTTAGAGGACCATAAATGTAAAAAAGATGTGATGTTAATGTGCCAAATCTTACCATTCGCAATTCCCTTTTAGATGTATTGATAACATTGACATGGCAGTTTTGAATATGAAATAAAAAAAAATGAAAAGGCATGCCATCCCATGGAACTAATGAACATGATGATTTAGAGATACCAATTTTGTTGAAAGTGGTCAGGTGAATAAGAAAAGGTGATATCCATGGTGATGCACGCTAAGTGAAACCATCATTAATTATGAGTAAAAAGGACCTTGACATGTCACATGACAACCTCAGGGTTAATGTCACTGCTTACATCGAAATGCTGCACACTATGGTCAAGTCTAGATTAAGGTGGCAGCTCTACATGCCCCAGCTAGATTCATATGACCCAGGAATGTTTGAGAATTTTCAAGATTATGTAAAGCCCCACCACCATCACCATCATGCGTACTCTGATCTCTCCTCTTTGGAATATTATAAACTACTGTGTCTGGGGTATTGTCAAGAAGATTGACCAACCAGTAGCTTCATAATGCCAAGGATTTATTGAAGACTGTTGAATGAGAACCACTTGATCTGGATATACAATCATTCCAAGGCCACACTGAAGCCATCTTCATTGAACAACATTTGTTTATTTTTCTAAGTTGAACATGTACATCTCTTGTGAAATTATACTGATTTGTTTTTATGTTATCTTTTTCATTTACCTGATGTACTCTGTATACATGTGTCATGATGCTAAGAAAACTATAGAGTAATATGAAGCATGGTATCAACTTAAAGGCCCAAATAAAATTCCTAAGAATAAAAATTTTTAAAGTTTTTTTTTAATGTGAATCCCTTTATTTAGGCCCTTAAACCTCACTAAAAGTCAAGAAAGACAACTGTGGCAGATTTGATGTCACCATGGAGAGTTTTGATGGATCATGATTGTGTGAAATTGTTGGAATCTATTTGCTATTGAAATTAATGAAATAGTTAATAGAGATTATATCATGACGGTGGTCTAATGGTTATCAGAATTTGCAATGGCTGGATTACTGGTAATATCGGAAAGGAAATTATTATAACCTTTAAATAACTGGGCTTTGACATCAACATTATGCCTAGTTCAAATGAAGTGGACATCCTCAATGACACTTGATCTCTGTGGCAGTGTGCACTAACCATACAGAATAATAGTATCTGTATTTATATCAGCACATCATCAAATCACCCACTGGCCATTTTCAAACAGATCCCAAATTCCATATGTAATAGACTGCTCACAGATTCTAGTAATAGAGGTGTTTTTGAATGAAACCAGAATATTAAATAGCATTATGGCTAAGTATATGTGCTATGCATTTAGATTTTAAAAGTGGTACTGCCAAGATAAAAACCAGCAGATAAAGAAAAATCATTTGGTTCAACACTGTCCTACAACAGAGCTGTGAAAACAAATGTGTGAAATGTTTTTAAGCTTATTGATAAACACTTCTGTGCAATTAGTAAGCTCCATAAGGTATTCAGACAATGTAATTTGATTGAAAATAAATAAATAAAATGAAGGCACTTTCCACAGGATATGAATCTAAATCCTGCAACTGCAGAAATAAAAATAGTTGTTCCATGGTGCGAGAATGTTTAACTAATAATATAATCTACCAGACCACTGTGATGGCCAAAGCTGAAACAAATTTGCCATATATTGGCATTTCTAAAGGGCTGTGGGAATAATAATTCTACAACCACAAAACTTATTCAATGAGAAGGCAGTACGCTAATAGAATGATACTTTCTATATATTTGTGGGAATTGAAAGACAATACTCCAGAACTGGAATAGAAACTTTTAAGAAAAGCATTCACTTCTCAAGAAGGTGTAGATTATGCCTTAAAGAAAAGTTATACATTTTAGAATTCCCACAAAAGACAGGCTATTGAATAAAAAGGTCAGAATTGCTTTCCAAGTTTTAACATGAGAACAAATACTGTTTCTTTTACCTACCCACGAACTAAATGATTATGACATCCATATTTGTATGTCTAGAAATCCAACTTAGTGAAGTTTTACTTATTTAGGAGTGCCTAAATGGAAAACTGGAAGTCATGCATATATTTTCTCTGTATTCATTATTTTTAATATATATATATATATATATATATATATATATATATATATATATAAACTTGTTTAATAAAAAACCCTCAAATTTTTGATTTGCTAATAATCAAATCAATTTTTAGGGGAAAAAAGGTTTTAAAAAAAGAAATAACTACAAACATGAACTATATAAAAAAAAATCAGACAGATACAGGTCTGAAGCCCAAAGAAAAAACCCTGATACGAGTAAACAACTAACAAAAGCGCTCTATACAACCGTAGAGCAGACCTAGATACACCTAGTGAATAAACATAATAATAGGCAAAGAAAGATTTTGTGGTTCAATCCTCCTTTTAATTTAGCAGTAAAAAACTAAAATTGGCAAGATATTTTTTTTAATTTATTAGAGCAACATTTCCCCAAAAAAAACTGAGTTACATAAAATATTCAACAAAAACAATGTAAAACTTAGTTATTGTTGCATGCCGAACATAGGGACTATAAATAAATTGAATAAATAAAAAAACTAGGAATAATCCACACAGTAATCCTCCTACTTGTAATTGTAGAAACAAAAAACATCTGTCCATTACAGGAAAATGTCAGCAACAATGCGTGGTTTATCAAGTGAAAATTTACAAAAAATAGTGAGGATACTATTTTAAAAAACATACATAGGGTGCTTTCGTGGTAAATTTAAAAAAGATATTATAACCAACTTAGTTTTAAAAAAAAAAATTAAACATAGTACCACATAATATATCTACTTATGTATGGAAAAACCAAACAGGAAGATAATATAGACCCCATCCTTAAATGGGAAATATTAAAAAAATGCCCAAAATATAAAGCAGGCCATAAATTTTGTAAATTATGTGCAGAGGAGAAATTAGCTTTATATGATCAACCTAACCAGCTATGGTTTTGGAGATGGGCCCCATGACATGTTGATGAAGCTGTCTCTGCATTATTAATGTCTGCTGCATAAACCAATTATTTTTAGGTGGCCCCACAGATAAAAAATAAAAAGGACAATTGGATGTCAGGAGAATTGGGAATGTGGAAATGTGCAGGCCATGGAACTGGTCCTCCCCTACCTATCCATCTTTCATGTTAGATGTCAGCCAGTGCATTGCAAACAATGTGACTAAAATGTGCTGGAGCCCCATCATGCATGAACCACATGCATCTTTGTATTAGCAGAGATACATCCAGCAGGTCTGGAAATGTGTTCAAAATAAAGTCCCTGTAGACAGCTCCTGTAAGATGTGCTGGGAGAACATATGGACCTACCAGACAGTCACCTACAATTCCAGCCCACACATTAATTGTAAACTGATGCTGGTGTCTACCCTGTATTGTACCATGGGGATTCTAATCTGCCCACAAATGTTGGTTGTGTAAATTTGTTATTCCATCTCTTCCAAATGTTGCCTCATCCATAAACAAGACTGAAGAGACAAACAATAGATTGGCAGTTTGTGCAATAAACCATCAGCAAAAATTCTCCCATGGTAAGTGATCAGAGGGCGAAAGACCCTGCACACATTGCAAATGATATGGATACAGGAGCTGCTCTTGAAGTA